GTAAGTGACATAATGTGGGCTGGAAGAGAACAATAAGTTTGTACTTTACAGCTTAGGAATCTCTTTCACAAACACTATCTCACTCTTCTCAACAGGGAAGACATGCAAGGCAGGCATTATTACTCCCCGTTTCACAAAACTAAATTCCAAGGCTAAAAAGGGGCAAGTGAGTGACCAAGGTTATATAGTGAGCAGTGACAGAGATAAGATAAGCCTCTTGGACGCAAAGCCTTTACATTTTTTCAGTAGCCCAAAGCTAATAACTGTACCCAAAAAAACAGCCTGTGGTGTAGGAAACAGTCTCTAGTGGTATGCCATAGGGCTCTGCTCTTGGCTCAGTCTTGCTCAAATGGTTTATCAACACGATCAGATACAAATTAGTCCAGGCTGTATCCATGCTCCAAGTATGCATGTTGAACAAGAAGCATGAATGAATGACTTGAAAATTCACTAACACACAGTGACAGGAGGATGATTGGATGAATGCCCAAAGAAGGGAAGGCATGGGCTGGGGGAGAGAAGCAGAAAGATCCAGTGGTGAAGCGTGCAGTGCAGACGTAGGAGATCTGGGTTTGAGTCCTGGCACCACCACGCACTAGCTGTGTGACCTTGGGTGAGACATGGACTGTTGCTGAGCAGAAGTATCTTCACCTGTAAAGGGAAATACCACTCGCTCCTCCATCCCCTATGTATTTGTTTATTCACTTCCATCCATCAGAATGTCATGCTCTCTGTTGACTCCCTAGAACCTATGAGTGTGCCTGGCACAGAGCAGGTGCTCAATAAATAGTTACTGAATAAATCAACACGAATGTTTTGAGTGTCTACTATGTACCATGTGTATGTTACACATTGGGGACATCATGGTGAACAAAACAGGGTCAGGGCTCTGTCTTCATGCAGGTCACAGGTTAATCATATGACCCCCTCCACGATTGTCAAATCACAACCAGAATAAACTCTCCCAAGATAAAGTATGTGAAACAAAGTAGAATATGCACAGATTTGATCTGGTCAGAGAAATCAGGGAGGGCTTCCCTGAGGAGGAGGTGCTTGAGTTGAGAGCTGAGGGATGAGTAGACATTAGCTTGGTAGAGAACAGTCTAGGCAGAGGGAGCAACATGTGCAAAGGCCCTGTGACAGAAGATAACATGGAATGTATGATGCTCTAACAAGTCGAACATCATACAGTGAGGCTGAAGTCAAGCAAGCAGGAGGACCATGGAGTGTGATGAGGCCAGGGAGGGGTGCAGAGCCTTACAGCACAGATAGGAGCACTGTGTTACTACTCAGGAGACATGGGAAGACATTGAGGGGGTTGAGAAGAGCAGCTGTGCATTTCTCAAAGATTTTTTGGGGCTGAGGTACAGAATGGAGGGGCAGTAGTGGAAGCAGGGAGAC